AATGAGTGTATCTATGTATTCCTCCAATGTCTTCAGAGTACTCATTACTTTCTGGAAACTTCTTAATGGAGCCAAGGAGTTAACTGCTTATCCTTACAACACATGGTTCTCATGTTTTCCCTACAGTGCTCCATACAAGCTCATTAAGTATGTTCACAGTGCTCTTTGGGCTTATCATGCAACTAGTTAGGCTTCCCCTGTGCCTCCCCTACAAGGCTCTGAACACTGTGGGCTGTTAAGTACAACTGTCTCTTGACATTTGCTGGTGTGAAATTTATTCTCAGTTATTCACGTGTATTTGACAGGTCATGATTTACCATTTTCCTGGGCAGTGGATTTTAATTCATCCAATCTGTAACGCTGATGTTATGAGAAAGCCACGGTGCCAGTTCTAGGGATCAAAGTCAGATTGTCAGGCTTGAGAGCAAGTGCCTTTACCTATTGAGCCCTATTGTTGGTTGGTTGGTTGGTTGGTTGGTTGCGGGGGGGCGGGTAGGGGAGGTTGTTGTTTTTAATGCTACAAGTAAGAAGATAAAAATCTTAGCTAATGTTGATGGTCAGTGATAGGCTGGGCTACAGAGGTGACTCATTAAAAAGGAAGATATAGCCGGGCATGGGGGCGCATGTCTTTAATCCCAGCACTCAGGAGGCAGAGGCAGGTGGATCTCTGTGAGTTCGCGGCCAGCCTGGTCTACATAGTGAGTTTCAGGACAGCTGGGGCTACAGGGAGACCCTGTCTCAAAAAAGACCAAAAAAAAAAAAAAAAAAGGAAGATATAAATATATAAATAATAGAACAAGAAAAATATCTAAAATTGTCTTAATTCCAGATTTCTAAATTTCAGAATTCTCAAAGAACAACATAAGTCTATGAGAATATTATAAATATACCACAGACTTTTCTAAGTGGTTCCTTTATCTCAAATAGGACCTTTCTCTGTGTTTAAAATGTATGTTTAGGAATTGGTGAGATGGCTCAGTGCATAAAAGCACTTGCTGCCAAGTCTCATGACCTGATTTCAGTCCCTAGAATCAAACTCCTCCAAGTTGTCCTCTGACCTGGACACCTGTGTCATGGCAAACACACACACAAACACATACATGCACATACACAAATAAATAATGTCATTTTTTTAAATGTATGTTTAGTCCAGTGGTACTTAACTAGAGCTACCCCATGCTATCACTTGGGAACTTGTTAAAGATATAGTTAAGAAGGTGCCACTATAGAACCACTGAAAGAATGCTCAAGAGTTATGTTAGGACGTGTGCATTTTGAAAAAGTGCATGTGATAGTTCGGAGTGTAACTCCTGACTTGAGGAATTCCATGGGGAGGAAGCCACCTTTGAGATGTACTATGATACCACACATCCTGCCCTGGTTAACTTTATGGTATGAAATATCAAGCTGTCACGTTTCCTGGAACTTCTGGGGCTTGGTTAGTGCTTTAACATGGCAGTGCCATTGAGTAGTCTAAGGGTTCACTCCATTTTGTATATTACCAACCCTGTTTCTCTTCTTTCTTCTCTTGTCTGTCCTTCAAGGTTTGTTACTCTTTTAACATCTCAAAAGAAGAAGTAAATACATTTAAATTAATTAAATGCTTGTTTGCCCAAGTTCTTTTTTTAAAGGAAAGGATAGGAGGGTAAGGGTCACCTATGGTTTCTGAAAAATGCGGACATAGTCACTTTTTGTTGTTGCTTTGTTTACAAGGACCAACCTTATAATTTGCCTTTATGAAATTGCTTTCTTCTAAGATCCTAAAATATTTTGTTGTTCTTTCAGTTTTTTTGCCAGCATCTAGGCACTAGGTTGGAACTTTCTGCCTCCTTCCCTAACTCCCTCAGTCTTCCACCCTCCCTGTGGAACTGGGAGAAAGCCAGAAACTGCCCTGAGTGTTAATATTTATTAAATGCAATATTTACTCAGGGAAGGCTTGAGGGGAAGGAAATTAATAGGATGAATATTGCCCTCAGAGTGGCCCAGTGTCACATGGAAAGTCAGTGACCATCAGTCCTGCAGCACACACTTACCTGTCTAGTCAGGGCAGGGGTGGATTGTTTGATATTTTGCTGACTTCTGTTTAAAAGGATGCTGTCTCCAAAGCCTCAAGTCTGGTGAGTCATGGAATACTTATACACTGAAGTATGAGTCAGAGCTAAGTGGCCTTTTGTGCAATCAATTGAATTGCTGTCCTTAAAATCATACCTCCTGTCTCCACTGTGAAGCGACATCTGATTTGAAAAGTACATTTATGAATGGAAATAAAAAAACAGTCCCTTGCTAATGCTATTTTCTTTTTCCTTTTTGTTTTTGTCTCCTTTCTCTAGCATGAAAGACTTTCTAGGTAAGAACTCTGTTTTATACGCATGCTTAATACTTTTGAGTGAATGTATGTCTAGCTTAATTTAGTTTAGTAATCTTCTTAATATCCTTCCTTTTCATTTCTATGGTCACCACAGTAATTCAGACTTATTATCTCTTACCCGATATAAGGGAACAGCTTTCGACTCATCTTCTGCCACCAAATTCTCTTCTTTCCAATTCACTTTGTGTACTTCAACCAGATTAACCTTCCTATAGCACCAGTACTCAGCACTATGTTTGGCGCTAGGAAAGCAACATGAACAAGGCACTCCTCTTACTTGCTCTTAGCTTACAAACCACTGGAGTCACATTTAGAAAATGCCATTTAGGCCAGCCATGGTGGCGCACGCCTTTAATCTCAGCACTTGGGAGGGAGAGGCAGGCAGATCTCTGTGAGTTCAAGGCCAGCCTGATCTACATAGTGAGTTCCAGGACAGCTGGGGCTACAGGGAGACCCTGTCTCAAAAAGACCAAAAAAAAAAAATTTTTTTTTTTAATTAAAAAAAAAAAAAAGAAAGAAAATGCCATTTAGAAATATGGGCGTAGGGGCTGGAGAGATGGCCCAGCAGTTAACAGCGCTGGCTGCTTTTGCAGAGGACCCAAGTTTGGTTCCCAGCACCCATATGGTGGCTAACAACCATTCATGGCTCCAGTTCCAGGGGAATCCAACACCCTATTCTGAACCTCTGTGGGCAGTGTACTACATGGGTACACTTACATACATTCAGGCAGTACACTCATACACATAAAATAAAAATAAATAAAAATATTTTTTTCAAAGAGGTCTGGGCAGATATATTATGAGTATAGGGAAGAGACAGTTAACCAAATCTACTGATTCAGGGAGGCCTTACTACATAGTGGAACCCTGAGTTGAGATTGAGAGGAAAGGAGATGTCACTGTATAGTGAATTCAACACTATATGTTGTACCTAAATAGTACCTAATAAATAGCTTATTAAATTAACTAAAGGCCTGTTTTGCAAACCAATTGATGATGATGATGATGATGATGGATACCAGTTTGGATGGTGCTAATTTTCTACATAGTATCTAAGATTATAAAACTTATCTTCCTAAAGAAGAAAATAATAATAGCAACTTTGGAAATGAATATTTGAATCTCTCCTTTTTTACAATTCCTGTAATGGACAAATTAAGAGATTAGTGGGAGCAGATGTAGTTATGGGATGACACAGAGAAAATTGGTCTTACAATTTGGTAATTAAGCTACTTATATCTTATTAATATATACATATATATATATATTCTTCCTCTGCCCTCTCACCAGGTACCAGCCAAGAATAGATAATTTTTATAAAATTACTTAGCTTTGCAAAATGGCAGAGTGGTGTTTTGCTTAGTTAATCTTCAGAGAACTCAGTTGTGTTACAATGGCCATTTGTGAAAGGATACTATCCCTATAGACTTCAAAATATTCTCTAAAGTTGAAGTGATTAAAACACTGAGGTACCAGTTCAGGAATAAGGAAAGTGACTGGTGCGATGGCTCAGCAGATAAAGGTGTTTGCTGTCCAGAAAACCAATCAGTCAAGTTGTCCTTTGACCTCTAAATGAGCACACCCACAAATAAATAAACAGACAAAGGGATTGATGGATCACAGTCCATAGCACCAAAGTCATGTGCATAACATGCATTTCCATTTCATGGTATAAGGGGCTGGAGAGATGGCTCAGCAGTTAAGAACACTGGCTGTTCTTGCCAGAGACCAGGGTTCGAATCCCAGCACCCAAATGGCAGCTAACAACTCCAGTTCCAGGGGATCCAGTAGCCTCTTCTGTCTTCCGCGGGCATTGCACAACACGGGTGCATTTATCTACATGCAGGCAATATACGCATATACATGAACAAATAAAAATAATAAATAAAAAATTTTAAATTGTTCAATCAATGATTGAGAAAATTGGCTGGTTTGGGGTTCTGGTTTTTTTGTGGTTTTTTTTTTTTTCCTTCTAGGAAGATACATCTCATTCCATACTAAAAATCCAACAGAAATTATTTTAAATGTCATATTTTTAATAAAAAAGAAAGGCCCTTTCTGTAAAAATAGCACAAGGCAGTATTTTATAATCTTTGTATAGGAAACACCTTCCCAAACACTGTAAAAATTATGAACTTACAAGTTTAATTACATATAATTTACAATTTTTAATATTAAAATATACTATAAATAGCTAGGCATGGTAGCACACCTGTAATCCCAGCATTTGCGAGGCTGAAGTTCAAAAGAATCAGGAGTTTGAAGCCAGACTTGGCTACATAACAAATTCTAGGCAGGCTTGGGCTATGTGAGGCCCTCTCTCAAAAAACTAAAATAAAAAGAAGTGAAAGAATATTGATGCTTTAAAAGTTACTATAAACAGACAAAAGGTGAAATGAGAAAAAAATGTTTGTGAATTATATTAAGCAGTTGTAAAAGGCCTGCTGGGTAAGAGTCATCCAGCATGGAAAAAAAGAGGAAGGTAATTACCCTAGTAAACAAAACCCAAAACTAGCAATTTAGAAACAAGAAGATGAATAACCAAAGACATTCAAGCTCCCTAATGATTTACAGTGCTATACAATAGGAATACTATACAGCAGAAATAGTATATCCTGGGGTGGAGAGATGGCTTAGGTCCTCAGGGTCGCCTGCACCAACAGGCAACCAACAACCATCTGTAACTCCCATTCCAGGGGATGTAATGCCCTCTTCTGGTCTCTGTGGGCATTGCATACACAGGCACACAACTTACATACAGACAAAACACAAAATAAAAATAAATTAAAAAAAAAAAAACTTTTTTAAAGAATAGTGTATCACCGGGCTTGGTGGCACATGCCTGTAGTCCTAGCACTTGGGAGGGAGAAGCAGGCAGATCTCTGTGAGTTCAAGCCAGTCTGGTCTACATAGTGAGTTCCAGGACAGCTGGGGCTACAGGGAGACCCTGTCTCAAAAAGACCTAAAAAAAAGAAATGAGAGAGAATAGTATATCCCCATGTTAAGTTGGTATGATGGCTAATCTTGGTTGTCAGTTTGACACACCTGGGAAGAAGGAACCTCCATCACACTGGCCTATGGACATATCTGGAGGGGCATTTTCTTGATTGCTAATTGATATAGGAGGGCCCAGCCCACTAGGGAGTGCCATCCCTGGGCTGGCCGGCCTGGGCTGTTTAAGAAAGGGAGCTGTAGTGAGCCTGGGAGCAAGCCAGTAAACAGTGAGCCTCTCTTGGTTTCTGCTTCAAGCTCCTGCCTTGGCTTCCCTCAATGACAGACTAGAACCTGTAAGCTAAAATAAACCTTTTTCTCCCCAAGTTACTTTTGGTCTTGGTGTTTATCATAGCAACAGAAAACAAACTAGAACAATTGGAAAGGGTTAATAGTAATAAATCAGCATTTAAACTGATGTAGCTCTTGACTGAACAAGAAGTTACATTTCTAAAATTTGTTCTAAGAAAGTAATTGGACAGTTGAGTCAGTGATGGCAGTGGCATGCACCTATAATCTCAGCACTTGGGAGGTAGAGGTGAGAAGATCAGGAGTTCAAGAACATCCTCAGCTACATAGCAAGTTTGAGGTCCTGTCTCAGACAGAAAATAAACCAAAAAAAGAAAGAAAATCAGCCACCTGTACCAAGATTTATAGATAAGACTGCATTTTAGTTTTGATAATAGTAGCTAAAATTTTTGAAATAATATGTGTCTATCAACTGAAGTTGAGTTAAATTATCATACAATCATAGAATGAACTGTGAAGTCATCTCTAAATGAGGCAAATATTTTTTTTACTTACATGGTAAGATGTTCACACAATCATGGTAATCAATATAGGGAAGAGAAGTTAGACAACATAGGTATTACCTGATTTTATCTATAGAAATGTATATTTTTAACATATTTGTGTATTTGACATCCCAAAAGTATATGAAATAAACCATTAATAGTAATTATTTCTAGGACAAGATTATGGAGTAGATACTTTGGTATTACTTAACATACCGCTTTTGGGTTTTTGTTTTTGTTTTGTTTTGTTTTGTTTTGTTTTGTTTTGTTTTTGGTCTTTTTGAGACAGGGTCTCCCTGTAGTCCCAGCTGTCCTGGAGCTCACTATGTAGACCAGGCTGGCCTTGAACTCACAGAGATCTGCCTGCCTCTGCCTCCCAGGTGCTGGGATTAAAGGCACGTGCCACCACGCCTGGCCCTTAACATGTTGCTTTTATAATCAGAAAAAAATTTATTACATAGATTTTTATTAACAGGGAGTTGGGAGGGCAAGAACATGGGTCCTGGCATCTCCAAGAGAAAAGTGGCCACTGGCTTCCTTTGGAGCAAACGCTTTGCTCTGCCCTCTCTGTTACTGCTCCTCTACCTCTTCTAATACTTACTCAGCTCCTCCAGCTTTGCCAGTAGCTACAACAGAAACATCAGGTACAGGTTGCACAACTGTGATGCTGCAAACGAGACTTGAAAATGGGCTGCTTGGGGCTAATTGAGACTCCAGCAAACCTATTGTGCACCAAAAAAGCGTAGGTGTCATGCCATGGTTGCTGTTTCTCCTCCATTCACCCTCCAGCTTGCTCTTCAAGCCCATGTGTTTCTGATTCATTGACAGCTCACTGTAATCATTTTTTCCAAGAACCATTCAAACCCAAGAAACTTTGTTAAAAGCACACTTTTTAGGGAAGATGTTCAACTCAAAATTAATTTGAAAAGCTCTAAGATTTAAGTCAGCACATGGTTCCAAACCACCAGTTTTTCAAGTGAGCTCCAGTCTTGGCAAATGATAGTCTCTCTCCCCAAGTTGCACTCTTGCTCATGTGCACACTCACTCATGCAGTGTAACCGTGAGATCTGAGAATGCTGGCTCAGAGATTCAAGGAAGGGTTCTTAAATACTTCTTAGAAAAGGCACAGGGTATCCTTAAGTTTTACACACACGCGCACACACACTTTGTTCTTAAAACTAACTTTTTATCTTTCACATTATCTCATAGATTGGAATCAGGAGGCAGTAACCCTACAAGCAGTGATTCTTACAGTGACCGAGCCTCAGCAAGAGCTCGTCGGGAGGCCCGGGAGGCCCGTCTAGCCAGCCTAACCAGCCGGGTGGAAGAAGACAGCAACAGGGATTATAAAAAAGTAGGATCTTTTTTCATTTTTCCTGTTCTTGGTTTGCAACATACAAAAAAGTATTTAAGTAACAATGATTCCTTGCAGATGTCTTGGTTTACTTCACCTCTCTACCCACTAAATAAAGACCGTTTGTATATTGTTTTTATTGCAGTAAGTATATGCCTAGAGTCAAATATTTGGAGGTGTAGAGAAAAGTAAGAAATAGACAGTTATCAGAAGAGTAAAAAGTATATTTCAGTCTCCCTGAGCCAATGAGAAGTATTTGCTACATGTATTCTTAAGAAATATGTGCTATGGGGCTGGAGAAATGGCTCAGCGGTTAAGAGCACTGGCTGTTCTTGCCGAAGACCTGGGTTCAAATTCCAGCACCCACATGGTAGCTAACAATGGACACCATCTTCTGTCCTCTATGGACACTGTATGACATGGCTACACTTAACACACATGCAGGCATAACCCTCATACACATAAAATAAAAAGAAAAAAAAGAAACATGTACTTTGAATGAGGTCCTGTGAATATTAACTAAATACATCTTGATGTTAGTTTATAAAAAGTCATTATCAGCTGGGTGTGGTGGCACATGCCTGTAGTCCCAGCACTTGAGAGGCAGAGGCAGGCGGATTTCTGTGAATTCAAGGCCAGCCTGGTCTACATAGTGAATTCCAGGACAGCTGGGGCTACAGGAAGACCCTGTCTCAAAAGGACAAAAAAAAAAAGTTATCATATAGCTCTCTGGACTTCAAGGGGATTTAAGTCATTTTATAGTCTATTTCTTTTGGTTCTTGCTCCTTGGACTCTGAAAACTCTCCCTTTCAGGTGCTTGAAATACCAGGAAAAACTTTGGGTTAAGAAAATTTTTCTTTGTTGATGATTTTGTTAAGCAGAACTTGACCGAAAAAAAAAAACCACAATGTGCTGGTTCCAGAAAAAAAAATTTTTATATGGATGCCACACTTTTGAGCAATGTGAAGACCCTATGAGAAAAAAATGGATGATAAGCTTTTTCTCCCAGAGATTAACGTTGCACTAGAGCATCACTCGTCCCTTTGTGTTCAGCACTGGGACCATGCCTTCAAGAAGCCCAAGAGCAATGGCCCTCCCTCAGACTGCCTTCCTCTTCTCCACCCAGCTCATCATGGTAACTTGGAGCAGCGAGCCCCAAGCATTCTTACCACATGAAACTGTGAGTTCTTCTGGGAGCCAGTGACCTGATCTGTTTTCCCTTCACAGCTCTATGAGAGTGCCCTGACCGAAAACCAAAAGCTGAAAACAAAACTTCAGGAGGCCCAGCTAGAGCTAGCAGATATAAAATCCAAGCTTGAAAAGATAGCCCAGGTAAGAAAAGGAAGAACAGAGCTGGGGCAACAGGGGCAAATATGAGAGGACAAGCTGGATAGAATGTGAGATAGTCAAAATGGGACTCCCTCAGAGCCAGTCAGAAGCTTTGTAGATTCTAATTTTAGAGTTTTAAGGTTTTAAGCTTCAATAACTGTTTAGCTTACAATTGGAAACTGATAGTTGAGTGAACATCTTGTAACCATCTTGAATGCTAGTAATTAATACTGCCTACACATTTCTTACTACAAAACTATGTCAGGTCAGTACAAGGTCAGTGTTAGTTCCTCCTGTCCTGTCCTATCATGTTTCACTTCATTTTCTCTGCACCTCACCGCATGGAGAAGAACAAGCATGGCCAAGTGCAGAGGGCTCCAAATGGGACCCAGAAACACAGAGGTGGTAACAGATTAGGCCCCAAAGGAAAGAGTCCATCCTCAAGTATAAGTCTCTCCTCTAGCCTAGGGGTAAGGAACTAGTCAAAGAAAGACCAGATAAAGCACTTCCTGTCACTGCCAGGCGTGATGTAGTTAGCACTTGAGAAGGTCCTAGAGGAAAGACCTCATCACCAATACAACAAGGCCTGCAGCTGAAAGCTATAGTGGCCTGTCTTTGGATATTGTAGAGTTAACAGGAAACTTACTGAATTGTTACTCTCCTAGAATACCTGGGAACTACAAATTTCAAAAGCTTAACTGAGACAAAAACGACTCTGTATGAATGAAAACTAGAGGTAGCTACTTAATCTGGTGATACATTACAATCCCAAAGCAAAGACTAGATTTTAGGGTCATATAGTCCCAAACACATGAGGTGTAGTGGGGGAGAGTGGGACTGAGTACCATCTGAGCATGTTGCAGCCCCTCTGGCATGGAATGAGCAAGGGAGAAAAGAGGATGACAGAAACCAAGCATAGGGCTCTTACTGGAAGTTTGAGACCTACAACAGATAACAACTAGGCTTAAAATGGTTTTGTGGAACAAGAAAAATAAGTCTCTAAATCTAAAGAAAAACTTGCAATGCAATTATAACTCTTCCATAAGGTAGGGAGTGTCCTAAATAAGTTTTATGGTCACTTTCCCCCTCCATATCACTGAGCTAGGTAAAATGTCTTGTTCACAGAGGGCCCTCAGAAGGTATTCAAGACTGATTTTTCTTCTGAACAGTGCCATGGATAGGTAGAGGTTAATAATAAATACAGACCTTATACTGGTTCCCATAGTATATTACAGTGCTGTTTTATAGAAAATTAAGAAGCAGTTCTAAGAAGAATGACAGAGCTCCTGACAGTTATCTATTGACCCCTTGAGGTTCTTGCTTTTCCACCAGCCTGTGCTTCATAGCACAGCAAACTAACAGGCTGTGGACAGTGACACACACACAGAGCATTAGAAATTATATCAGCCTTTCCCAGTCACTGGGGAATAGTATAACTGGCAGCCAACTACTTTGCTGGGTATGTTGGAATATACTTAAATTTCCCAAATACAAGGTATTTGAAGCTCAGAAGAAATGGTAGTGCTGCAAACCAAGTCTCTATTTACCAAAAATGGAATTGTTTGGTAGGACCATGAAGGGAGGGCCTGTCAGCCTCACGCATCTGTTTGGAGACAGTTACCACATGGACTCATGCAGCATTTTTACATAAAAGGTCAAGTCAAACTCTAAGGGAGTTATAATTTAAAACTAAACAAGCAAACAGAAAAATCTAGTTCTTTGTATTCTGAACTTTGAAAATAGTAAAATCTTCCAGCTTCTCAAACTTAGGAAAGAAGGACATGGGAAGATATGAACAAACTAGAAGGTCTACTAATACATTTCTCCCTTTCTGCTTCTCAGTAGATGTAGCATAAAGGCAGACAGCAGTGACCTTCAGAACAGAAGGTGAACATCTAGGATAAGAGCCAGAATTCCAAGCTTCATAGTTAGTTTTAGCTACTCCTTAATTTAGAAGTGAAAGAAAGGAAAGAAAAGAGGGAAGGAGGGAGGAAACCTGTGCAAGAAGACCATCATAATTGTTATGTTTATTAAATGATGTCTGGGCATCATTCTAGGCAAAGTAAAAATAATCCTCCTTTACCGAATGTCTATTGAATATATGAAATTCTGACCAGTCCTAAAATACTAAGACCAAAAGAGACTTTAGAGGTTCCTGTACATTCCTCTGTTTAAGGCAGGGCATTTACCTGAAATTATTCTTCTTATGTTTAGTGACCAAATATTTTTACCCCCGTGAAGAATTTAAATTGAAAGTCAAAGATGTTCTAAAATATACATTGTAAATCCTTTATTAAAATTAAATCTTGCCTTAACAGATTTAAAACAACAGATAAAAGTGGAATTGCCCTGTTAGAAGGGGCAGGTGCCATGGATGGGCTCCCAAGAAGACTATCACACCTAAAGCCCACTGCTCTAGACAGGACTCGGTGCCCAGAACAGAAGTGGCAGGGGAAAAGGATTGTTAACAAGAGTGCCCTGTGACTTAAGACATTCAAGATCAGGGCTCTTTAGCCTTTTAAGGAAGAAAAGCTGTTTTTCATTTCCTCTGGGTTGTGACAGAAGAGAGGAGGGGGATGGTGCTAAGAGGGAAATTGGTATTAGAAGTTGGTAGTCTAGAGGGAGAGGGAAGGTGGGATTCAGGTGTGTGTAATGTCTGTACATATGTCATATCTTGGGCTTTAGGGGCTATTCCTGCCCTCTGCTAGCCAGTGGGAATCCTGCAAACTGTACTGAATGATAGTGCTGTGCTTAGTGATCTGTCACAATCTGTTTGCCAAGATCCCTGCTAAAGGAAAAGCCAAGCACTTCCAACTCTTTCTGGATGTCTGGTGGTAAAACCTGAGCAAAACTGAAACAACTTGAGTAACAAGTAGTTTTCTTCTTTTTGCACAGCAGAAACAAGAGAAGACCTCTGACCGGTCATCAGTGCTGGAGATGGAGAAACGGGTATGCACATCTCTCCTTGGCTGCCTGCTTTACTCTTCTTTCTGACCTTTTTTAACTTTGTGGTTCATGCCAATGGAAAAAGTTCATCTTAAGAAGGCGGGAGTTCTGCCACATTCCATTCCAGCTTGATGATGAATTCTTCTTTTTATCTGGACTGTAATTTGATTGCTAGTCTTTTTGGTTTCCTCACTTAGTTGGTTACCAGTTTTAGGATAGGAAGGAGCCATATACAGAGCTGTAAGATATTTTGGTTCAAAACACACACACATACACACACACACACACATACACACACACACACCCCTATGGACTTTTTGCCCTTTCCATGACCTTGGACAGAAAGGAAGCTTTCAGCTGGGTATGATTTCACATGCCTGTAATCTCCATATTTAGGAAGCAGAGGGAGGAAGATTGCCATAAGTTCAAGGTCAGCCTGTATTATATAGCAAGTTCCAGGCCAGACAGGGCTAGATAACAAAACCCTGTCTCAAAAGAAGCTCTTGCTACACAAGCCTGACAATCTGAGTTCAATCGCTAGAACCCATGGTGGAAGGAGAGAACCGGTTCCCTTAAGTTGTCCTCTGACCTCCACACACATGCTGTGTTACACACATCCCCAACCTCACATACACAACAATAAATAAATTTTTAAAAAGAAAGGAAGCTTTTTATCAAGACCCTTTGCCATTGATTTAGGTCCTAGGATTTAAGACCTGAATGTCAGTCTTTAAAATATTTTATTTATTATTTTTATTTTATGTGTATTACTGTATTACCTACATGTGTGTAAGTGTCCCTGTGTCATGTCAAATCCCCTGGAACTGAAGTTACAGACGGTTGTTAGCTGCCATGCAGGTACTGGGAACCAAACTCAAACCGAACCTGGGTCCTCTTCAAGAGCAGCCAGTGTTCTTAACCACTGAGCCGTCTCTCCAGCCCCAAGTCTTTTATTCACTCAAGCTGAAGGAGTTCTTGTCAGAACCTGACCTAGTCTTGACTCAGATGTTTTTCTGGGATTTGGCATTCTTGGATTGGAAAAACTAAATTAGATTTATTGATGTATCTAACTTTGATTTGACACTAGGGATATAGTGTGTTCCCATCTCTCTTGTAGTCTGTTTAATTTGGAAAGTAGCTAAGTTTGGTATTTCATTACCTTGGCCTATAGCCAATCCTCCTTGGTATCTCATCTAATCAAAGGTTCCTCATTGTGCTGGAGGTGAATTAAGAGTTACTTGCTGGGAGAGAGAAATGGGGGGAGGGGCTGGCAGACAATGATATCTACTTCCCTATTCACCATCTGCTCCCCATCATGAGAGAGGCAGTTTCCGAGGAACTTAAGAGGAGGAGTACTGAAGATAATAATGTTTTTTTGTTACTAGACAGCAAGGGTCCTAGATATTTGCAGTCATTTGAAAATTTCAACTTGCAAAGCTCCCAGTGTCCTGATCATTTGCCTTTTAGTAAGTTGCTTCCCTCTATATCTTGTAGTTTTCTGATAGAAGACTTGTATACTAGGACTTTTATCAGTGAAATAGCTCCATCCCAGGGGGTAGGGGCAGAGAGCATGCATATCTGAGAAAGTTTTGCCCAAGTCAGTAGGCAGACCCTTGGAACATGAAGTTACTGAATGTGGCAGGTGGGAGGCAGTACGGGGATTGCTTCTAAGTCCATTATCTATTCAACAAGCTTGTTGTTTCTAAACAGGAGAGGCGAGCCCTAGAGCGGAAAATGTCAGAAATGGAGGAAGAGATGAAGGTATGAAGAGATTGTCTTTGTCCCTTTGTGCCTGTTTTCTGAATGCCTGCCAAGACTAGATATTTGAGCCTAGTCTTGCCCTCTCTAAATGTTACTGTAAACTGAGTACCCTCAAGAAGAGATATGTTAAGAGGAGATAACCTCTTGGCCATTTCTTAGGCGCTGTCAGTTTATGCTGCATACACTGTGGCCACCTCAAAGGCCTTCGAGGCGCATCTGACTCTGATTTATGGGGAGATTTGTGGTAGGCTGGAGGCAAATCCATGTTGAACGTTAAGGTTTTCTTAGCAGTGGCTTCTCCCTCACATGACTGGATAAAAAGGGCAAGGACAAGTTCTCTTACTCAGCAGAGCCTCCACTGAGCGCTCAATGAAGCCAGGAAATGGCCACAGGCCTTTTCTTCTCCATACAACTCTTGCAAGAAGAGCACAGACTGAGTCATTCTGCAGCAATATGGAAATTTATTCACACATTTACTTCTCGCTCAGGATTTCCTCTGCAGTATTCCAGAGTTCGTGTCACTCGCTAGCTCACACCACCAGATGACCTACTCAAGAACTCACTGCTTTTCTCTTTTCCTCATCATAGCCAACAGTGACCATCATTTCCATTAGCTACTTGAATGGACAGTGCCATTTTTGCAGTTTCGAGTGTCATTCCAGTGCTATGAGAGAGGCAGATGGGGAGCTGGAAGGGACATAGGGCTGGTCAGGGTAGACACTTACCTATGATTTTGGAGCAGCTGATCCCTTCAGTGCATCATGCCATATGGCCACAGTCACTTAGTTCTTTCTTGAGTTTGATCCCCAACACTGAATAAAGCAAGCATAGTGGTGCACACCTGTAATCCCAGCATTTAGGAGGTGGAGGCAGGAGGATCAGGAGTTCAAGGTCATCCTTGCCTACATAGAAAGTTCAAGGCCAACCTGAGCTACTTGAGACCCTGTCTTAAAGGGGAGTGGGGAAAGGAAAGGGCCTAAATGCTGATCTGGAACATGTAAACAAGGCTAAAGCTCTGTTGAGTGCCTCTGTGAGTGCCCTGAAACCCATAGCCAGGCTGTGCCCACCAGTTGTGTGACTCTTTGTCCCATTCACACAGGCCCCCAAAGACTTTAAAGTGGCCGAAAGGGAGGAACTTGAGGTCTTATTTCTGTTTCCATTCTGAACTAGCAAGTAGAGAAGCTCTTCCATGTTCTAAGTTGTTCTCAATACTTTGGATTGAAGTAGGTTTACATGTGTCTCTGTGTCCTTATCTTTCAAGCTGTGATTTTTTTTAAACTAGGCCATGAGTTCCTTTCTTTTCTCAGTAGAGATTATAACACATGGAAGTGCTTACTCTCTATTCAGAAGTCATTTGCCAGCAACTATAAAAATCAGTTGTTTAAATCAAATGGAGCTATATCATGACTGGCCCCCAAACCAATAGGTAAGCTGTTTTGAGATTTTGTTTAGTTAAAAAAAATCCACCTTATCACTCAGTCTCCATTATGGAGGAAAAAAATATCTGCAACTCTACAGCCCCTAAACATCTGCTTAAGACCGAGCATATTCCAAGCTTACAACTTGTCTAGCTCCCCCTACAGGGGGGAGAAGCATCTGAACCTTCTAGTCACATCACTGCTAGGTTTGTCTGTACCTTCTTTGAAGGCAAAAACTTCAAAAACACAGATATAAATGTTATGAAATTGCTGCAGCTAAACTAAAGGAGCTGAAGGAAATATTTAGCTCTCCAAGTCTCATCCAGGCTATCATTTATGATGACCAACTTTTCTAAGGATTAGTGACTAAAATATTTGTATATGAAGTAGCCAGTGAAAGTACAGGTTTTCAAATCTGGGAAATCTTGTCAAACCTGTTAGACTTTGGGACCAGCTGGTCTCTGTGTTTGTGCATATTCAGGTTATGCAGGTGCTCAGTCTTTCTTAGAGCAGTCAATAAATAGAGCGCTATCTATGGGGTTGAAGGCACAATAGGCACTCAAGAACAAAAGTGACATCACTGCCTGTTTTCCTGATGCTGGCAAATAAAACACAAAGGCAGGTGAAATGGGAACCATGAGAGGGGCTCTGCTGGATGTATGTGGGTTCTGTAGTTGGGAAATAGCTTGTGGCCTTTGCCTGGAAAGGTAAGTATTTGTAAATTTACTCCAGTAGAAACTCCACCCAGATCCTGGATTGGAGTAGAATTATGACAGGTGTGCATGTCAATGTGGATCTGCACTTGGTTTTGGGATGTGCATATCCAAACTGATTACTTTTGCTGCATCCTCTATTCAGCATCAGCCTCCTTGCTTAGACTGTCTCCCTTCCTATCCTGGGTCCTTGCATGAGAGGGGCCCAGCAGGCAGTCCCTTGTAAATGTGTTCTAGGAGTTCTACCCTGCTTACCCTGGAAATACCACTAGTCAGCCCCGCCCTGCGCTCTGCCCTTTCCGGCCTTGCTCCATGCCCTGCTTTCCTTTTCATCTCCTTGCCATGCTTGTTTCCAAGATTGCTTCCTACAGATCATTCTACCATATTATTTCCTGCTTCTCTTCATCCTGCAGATAACTTCCAAATTCTTCCACCTAGAGTTGCCTGTACTCACACGTTAGACTGAGTCACTTTCATAGTTCATGGCTGTAATATCCCTTGGGAGGCAAAGATCACTTGATATAACAATAGTGAGTATGTTGAAAGCTTTGAGAAATGTCAACACCAATGAAGGGTGTAAGCCAGGGGCTTTCCATGGTTCTTAAACTTTGATCCCTGCCTTTGACTTTAAACTCTTCCTCTTGTTGTTCCATGATCTTCCTCCTCTGTTCCCTACATGGCCAAGATGCTTACAGTGGTTAGAGGATGGCCCAGTTTACCCTTTGGTGGCACCATAAAAATATGTGGCTGCCCTACCTTTTTCCAAGGTAGTCATTCTTCTTCTTTGGGCAAAGAGCTATTCAGCTGTCTGTCTCTGCTTAGCTTTCCTTTTTACTGTTTGTTTCTTCCCCCTCATGCTACCTTTCATTTCTGGTTCACTCCCAGACTGTAGCTTTCATTTCTATCCTTTCCCATTGTGTGGTTTGAGAGACTTCTCTCTAATACCTGGAACCCTTTGTTATCATTATAACCCACTGGATGGTCCATGCTTATCAAAAAACCTCATTTGCATAACAAAATCATTTCCCTCTTTCAAAAGAGCTGATAGTCTCAGTTTGAAGATTGGTACAAAGGCTCACTTAGGCCTTGTGAGTAGCCATGCCTGAGTTGTAATAACTTTACAGAAATCTTCAAATCCCTTAGGAAATATTGAATATTGCAAAGACTGTCTGCACTGGTTATCCTATTCATTTGCAACACTGACAGATGGTTGGGACTAGACTACCACATTGATCTAGCCACTTCCATCATCACTGGGCATTTATGATTTCTCTACTTCTGTGCATTTATAATTTCCAGAGTATAAGTCTGTTTGTGAACACCTTTTAGTAGCTCCCAGTCTTGACATGAACCAGGGCAGAGAGAGAGCATAGTTAGCTGTGAACTTAGTAATACATATAATCATATATAGCAGGTCAGAGGCAGACTGGCAGTTCCAGGACTCTGGATAAGCTCTATGCTGTCTAGGAAAGCTGGACAGGTTCATAAAGCATCTTAAAAATTGGTTGAGACTGTCCAGTGAGCTGACAGTTATTATTTGGGTATACGTCATGTCACTCTTCTAAACAGTACATGCTCTCTGTAGAAAGCACTTAATAAATAAAAGACCCCTCTCATGGTGGCGCATGCCTTTAATACCCAGCACTCAGGAGGCAGAGGCAGGCGGATCTCTGTGGGTTCAACACCAGCCTGGTTTACCTAGCGAGATCCAGGCCAACTGGGGCTACAGGGAGACCATGTTTCAAAAACAAAAGAATAAATAAATAAAAATAAATAAACAATGAGGCGGGAGAGATGGCTTAACAGTTAAGAGCACAGATTGCTCTTACAGAAGACCTGGGTTCAATTCCCAGCACCCACATGGCAGCTAATAACCTCAGTTACGAGGGATCCAACATCTTCTTCTGACCTCCCCTGGCATTGCATGACATGGGTGCACTTACACACGTGCAGGCAATGCACTCATATACATAAAATAAAAAATAATAAATGTAGTAAGAGAAGAATCTAGAAAGAAAACAGGAGTAGGAGGTCAGTAGGGGCAAGATGAGGGAAGAGAGAAAAGGGCAGCAGTTGGAGTCCCTAGTTCCTCAGCTTCAGTCCCAATAATGATCAAAGAGGGTCCCTAAGGCTAGGGCTCAGCCATGTGAATTTGGTTCAGAAAGCTGCAGACCATACTGTGGGCTTTCATTCTCAAAAGTGATCCACATGTGATTTTTGAGAGCCTGGTGGTTATGTTCAGATAGCGGACTCAGATACTTAAGCCTTAGCCAAGAATCACAAGCACAGCTCTCCCCTTCCTGGCATTCTCTGTTCACCTGCTCCCTGCACAATTTGCTTTCATTACTACTGCCTTTTTCATTTCCCTTCTTGCATGCAAACTAAAAACAAAAACAGAAAATCATGCAGTTTCTTTGTCCTACTTTTTTCTCCTCTGGTCTGTCTTGTCTCTGTCTTGTCTGTCCTCTCCATGTCTCACTCTCTGCAGAACCTTCACCAGCTAAAACAGATTCAAACCTTGAAGCAGATGAACGAGCAACTTCAGGCCGAAAACAGGGCCCTGACCCGAGTGGTGGCCAGACTCTCGGAGTCCATCGAGTCCTCGGACACCCAGGAGCTCTAGCTCTTGCCCTTCCTCTCCACCTTACTTCCCTCCTCCACCACTCAAGGCAGGTTTACTTTTCTTATTGGTCCCAGAGGCCCTGTGCTCATCCCCTCCATCAGAGCCTCTGTGTGCAGGTATCTGTAAAACTTGGTTATCTGGAGATGGAAAGAGCCAGGACTGAGGTCCTAAAAACCCAGGTCAAGGGTGGCAGTTGGGAAACTCCTCCGGATGAGCAGTGTCTTTGGTAAGATCACTACATTACTT